TTTGCACACCAGGGGTTAAAACTATTTAGGCGATCATCCCCTTTCCAGGGATGCAGGCACAGCTACTGCAGAACACCAATCCGCCGAACAGGAAAACATACGAATGCTGTAAACAGCCGAATAGGAAAAACCATATGAATAGGTTTACACTCCTAGCAGTCGAACTGGAACAGCATAAAATAAATCCCCCCAAGAACGAGACAAAGCTCCGTGTTGAGGGTCAAGCAGTGAACAGACAGAGCTGTGGGTTTATTGTGCTTATGTACACATTCTTACACATTAGTACCACCCACAGGGTTTTGGAACACAACCAATAAACACATACAATACACTGAGACACTCCCACACAAATTCCTCCTCTCTGCTTGTGATTCAATTAAATTACACAATGGGTAATGTAATTTAGCACAAACAGAGAAATACAATTTTTCCACATTATTCAGAACTTGAAAAGTATGCATCACATTCACATAAACTTACATTTTTAGAATCAGCATACTCCAAATACAAACATACGTCAAAATCATACAAATTGGTCCAGTGGTTCAAAAGATAGATCGTAGTCCTTTGTGACCACAGGAAGCATGGCTTTTCTGCTCAAAACCAGTTCCACAGAGTCTTCTATCCTGGAGATAATTAGAAGTAATCCAATTATCTCCAAAAACAGAGGCAAAACTCCATTGAACACATGGCAGCAAAAAGACAGTAAAATACAATAAAATACACAATGTTACATTTATGACATAAAGTACAGACATGCAACATATGCCCAGATAGCTTAGGTCTAAGTGCACATTATTACTGAATGGCGCTCAGAGCACACACATACAGTTCAATTGCCATGGAGCCAAAGTCTTTTCCATAGTCTTTCATTATATGAATGGGCTCCATGGCATAGCTATCTGGGGTATCACTGCTCAAACAGGGCAAGCACCAAATGACCCGGCTTTCTTGTCTTTGCGGGGGAAAATCAAGCCTTTTAACATGGGGCCATAAATCCCAAGGCAACAGGCGAGCAACCCGGCTTCTCCAATGCAATGTGGCGAGATTGGTCTCATCACACATACACTCTCACACACACACACACTCACTGACAGACATACACTCACTCACTCAATGACAGACAGACAAACACACACACACAGACACTTACTGACAGACATATACTCACATAACTCTCACACACACACACACACACAGACACTCACTGACAGACATATACTCACTTACTGACACACACAAACACACATACACACACACACACACTAACTGACAGTCACACACACACTTACTGACAGACATACACTCTCACACACACACTCACTGACAGACATACACTCACTCACTCAATGACAGATAGACACACACACACACACACACACACAGATACTTATGGACAGACATATACTCACTCACTGACAGACATACACTCACTCACTTAATGACAGACAAACACACACAGACACTCACTGACAGACATATACTCACACACACACACAGACACTCACTGACAGACATATACTCACTTACTGACACACACAAACACACATACACACACACACTAACTGACAGTCACACACACACTTACTGACAGACATACACTCTCACACACACACTCACTGACAGACATACACTCACTCACTCAATGACAGATAGACACACACACACACACACAGATACTTATGGACAGACATATACTCACTCACTGACAGACATACACTCACTCACTTAATGACAGACAAACACACACAGACACTCACTGACAGACACTCACTGACAGACACTATACTCACACACACACACACACAGACACTCACTGACAGACATATACTCACTTACTGACACACACAAACACACATACACACACACACTAACTGACAGTCACACACACACTTACTGACAGACATACACTCTCACACACACACTCACTGACAGACATACACTCACTCACTCAATGACAGATAGACACACACACACACACACAGATACTTATGGACAGACATATACTCACTCACTGACAGACATACACTCACTCACTTAATGACAGACAAACACACACAGACACTCACTGACAGACATATACTCACACACACACACACACACACACACTGACAGACATACACTAACACTGACATACACACACTCACTGACAGACATATACTCACTGACAGACACACACACTCACTGACAGACATATACTCACTGACAGACAGACACACACACAGACACTCACCGACAGACATACACTCACTGACAGACACACTCACTCACTGACATCCACTCACTGACAGACAAACACGGGCAGACACTCACTCACTGACAAACACTCAGACACTCACCTCCCTGAGATCCAGTGTGGGGCAACTCCTCACTCCTACCGCCCACCGTTTAGTTTGGCATGGCCAGAATGACGTCATATTCTGGCTCCTGGCATCACAGAGGGTGCACAAGGGAGGAGTGAGAGGCTCTGCACCCCTCTCCTTTGGTCACCAGCATTTGATGGCAGAGCAGGCACCTGTAATCAAGGTAAGAAGGTGCCTGCTCTGCCATACTGTGACAGTGCTTCTCTGGGCGCCCCCACCTTCAGGCGCCTGGAGAAGCAGCCCGGCGCTGAGGGGGAGCGGCTCTAGAACTGCTTGACCAGCTTTACATTTCAATACAGGAGGAGCCCACCAGAAAATATTCAGTGGTGCCGGCCCTGAGTAGTTCTATCATACAGAGCTTCCAGTTTGCTCTTCTTCTTCTCTCACATAAAATTATTTTTGATGGCCTTGATTCTGTTCATAAAGTCTCTCACATTGTTCATTTTATTTATTTAACAATTCAACAATTCTTAAATAGCACTCTTATCTAGAGTGCTTTACAAGTTAATTAAAAATAACGTTGGCAATTATTTAAACAAGTGATGAATATATAGACACTCTTAACCAACTGCATTCCTCTTCTCCACGTGCAGAATGTGTTCTGCATGTTAATGATCTTGTGAGGTTGATGGGTCACCATGGCAACCTCGCGCCACCTACAGGAGTCCTGAAGGTTACAAGACCCTGTAATTCTAAGTTAATTTATAATAAAGTTCAATATGGTCATATTAGTTGTAACAAAGAGGACAGTTTCATTAAAGACTTGTGGATTAATGTGCAGTTCGATACTTTACAAGCATTCCCCATGTGAATGCTTGCTAACAACTAACAGGCCACCCTGACTCTAAATTGAGACTCATTTACCTCCCTGCTTGATGGGCATTTTCGTGAAAATAAATGCACGAATGCTATAGGAACCGTATGCATGGCCGCCATTTTGGGACTTCCACGTGTTCGCAGCCATTTTAACTCCCGAACAGCTGTGTTTTCCGTCGAGTGTCTGGAACTAAAATCGGACACTCGGATAGGTGAACACCGCTGAGACCTCCATACCTTCGGGAAATCATACCACAACTACCGAACGACAAGGCATTCGGTAGAAAGACTCAACAACTTATGGGGATTCCAGCGAACCCAAGATGGCATACGGATGGCCAGCCGTTCTGGACTTTTTACACACGAACTAAGACCGACTGTAGGGCCAGAATTCATGGAACTGTTTTCGGCTACTTTGCCCGTGCGGTCGGTCAAAACTTTCAAGTCCCATATCTCCCGAACGGCTGAACCGAATGAGCTGATTTTCGAATATGTTAGTCCCCCAGAAACAAGTATTTGGGGTACATCCAAACTTTGGGGGAAAATATGTTTCTTTTAATTATGTTATGTGGTTATCTAAGGGGAGGGGATGTACAGAATGTATATTGTGTTTATTGGCTGTACTGTTAATTATGTGGGTGTCTCCCTTGCATGGGCAGAATCACATAAAAGAGAGTGTCTGTCATTAAAGCTTTAGTTCTTCTTGACCCTTTAAAACGTAGCCTTGTCTCGTTCTTGAAAGGAGAATTTTGCAGCATAATCACTAAGCTCTTTTCAGAGCTGTACTTGATTTCTACTTCGGATCCAGCAGAGGGGAATAAGCAGCTCCCTCACTACACAGTGACTTGCCGGGAAGAAAAGGATGTCCCCAATGGCTGATACCTTCACTCTAGCTGGGTAGCCGTTACATTAGTCAAGTCACACCCCTTGTGTGATTTGGTGCAGGGTGATTATGCTTTCCAAAAGCATTAGGGTTATATATATAAATACTTCTCTTTTCATTAGGAACATTGCATTGGTTTATTATTGCCCAAAAGTGCATTCTGATTATTTGTATTGACCATTCTGTATTCTTGACCCTGGTTTGTTTAATTATTTATTGAGTACTTCTGGAATCCTTGACCTTGGCTTACAAAATACTGACACTGTATTTTCACCTATTTTTGGCATACACATGTTAAGCCCAGCCACTCTACATATCTCACTCTTTCTATGATGTCATTCTAGCTACTTTTTCCCTATTCTCTTTGTGTGTAGTGGTTAACCTAACCTACTGTATGCACTAGTCCTCTGTTTCCCTTGTGGGCCATCATCACTCTTCTTTACTCTGCATCTTATTTCTTATGTACTCTTCACTACATTCACTCCACAATCACACTCACATTCAGCTGCCTACTTAATACTTAGTACTACTAGAGATAGTGTAGCTCTTTATAGCTATCTTTCTCTGCTCCTCTTTTTTAGTCCTCTACTCTGTTTGCATAAAATGTAAAATGTATTTTAGGGTTTTACAAGTGTATTCAAAAGTACTGTTAATACTTATCCATTGACTACATAGCTGTAACTAAAAATATGAGTAATTTCTGTGATAATTGCTATGTGATAGAAGATTTTCTATGATGTTCTGATGCTCTCCATTTGGTTCATTTATGTGCACATTAGTTCATTTGTGGTAGTATCTGCTTTCAAAATAAGTAGTTAGGGAATTGGGGGCGGAGCTAGCAGCCATACTGATCAGACGCATGTCGCTCCGGGTGGAAAAAACCCAAAGAATTACCCAATCAAACAGGCACATTCTGAGCCACAATCATAGCTACAGGCATGGGCCGTCGGAGCAAGAAATATAAGCCTGATCGACCCCCGTCAATGGTGGATATTGGAAACTTGCTGTGGCCTGAAATGGCACCGATGTCAGACGAACCTTCACGCACTTCTAGCAAGGAATCTCTTCTAGGCACGGTGCCCCTGCAGGCACGACATAAAAGCAGAGCCACACACTCCCTGCCATTGGGTAAATCCCCGGTAGCAGAAGATACTTTACGGAATCTACTGGATGAGCTCTGCTGGAACATCGCCACAGACATCGGGCAGTTCCGCAAAGAAATCAAGGGTATTTGAGCACATCTCCACAACTCGGAGGTGACGGCTGCAGCCCACGAGACTCGAATTTAAGTCCTGGAGCAGAGGATGGCAGCGGTGCTGGTAGCTCAGGAGCACACATGGCGGTGCTTGAAGATAGACGTTGCTTCAAAAATTTTAAAAATCCGTGGCCTACCTGTCAGTATTGATGCAGCGGAACTCCCCCCACATCATACCATGGATGCCATCGAATTGCAGGGCCACCGATTGGGGCAACGGGGGCGGGCAGAGGTGTTGTACTGTGGTTCCAGTTCAAGTTCCTTTCTCATAGTAAAATAAAAAATAAATACTACAACATACCTAGCCTATTAATCTCTGCAGTCTGTTAGTTTTACTTCTTCTTCTTCAAACATTTTTGTGCACACACTCATAGCCATGTATGTTTAATCTATGTTGACCATTTCATGCTTGCTACAGCTATTGTAGCTTTGCAAGTAGTGATGTCGCAAACATAAAATTTTCGGCACTGGCGAACTGCCATAGACTTCAATAGGCAGGCAAATTTTAAAACCCACAGGGACTCTTTCTGGCCACAATAGTGATGGAAAAGTTGTTTCAAGGGGACTAACACCTGGACTGTGGCATGCCGGAGAGGGATCCATGGCAAAACTCCCATGGAAAATTACATAGTTGATGCAGAGTCTGGTTTTAATCCATAAAGGGCATAAATCACCTAACATTCCTAAATTGTTTGGAATAATGTGCTTTAAAACATCAGGTATGATGTTGTATCGATCAAGTAGTGTAAGGGTTATGCCCGCTTCACAGTGACAGACCAAACTCCCCGTTTAACGCACCGCAAACAACCACAAACAGTCCATTTGCACAACCGCAAACTCCCCATTTGCACAAGGTTGGATACCAAGCTAGCCATGTCCGTTCCTTGTCCTCACTGATGTCATTGAAGGTCTCTTCCTCCACCCAGCCACGTACAACACCAAGGGTCCCCAAAAGGTGACAACAAACCCCCTGGGACGCCTGCTGTGTTTGGTCTTCCACCTCCTCAAAGCCACCTTCCTCCTCTGAGTCCTCTTCTTCAGACTCCTCTCTCTGCGTTGCCTCTCTCTGCGTTATTATAAGGTGTGTTAAGTAGTACTATTCCTATCAGTTTAATCCCTGTTACGTCCTCTATCAGGGGATGTGTATATGGCATCGATTTTAGGAACCGGGAGATGGAAAAAGATGCTTGGTCGGTCCTCCTACTTCAAATCTGGGGCACTGCGCGTGCAATCTAATGTGCCACCAGATAGGAGTGGTGTGTTAAGTAGTACTATTCTTATCAGTTTAATCCCTGTTA